GGGGGAGGGAGAAAGAGAGACATGCGTGCACGTGCTTACTCCCTAACATATTAACGTATCCCCTCGGAGCCAGGAAGACTCTTCCACTTGCCAAATACCAGGGCATGATCACGAGCCAAATGTTTGACCCATGAGACTGACTTATGGCCCTTTAAATAATCCTCCGTTCGCAATCAAGATGGTATACTATATGAAACCGGTCATATTTCAAGACAACGTATGGTCATGATTATGATTATGATTATGAGAACGATTATGATTACTATGGATTGTATTACTATTATTGTCAGTAGTAGTGGTAGTTAGTTAGTTATTAAGTTGATAGTAGTATTAATAATATTATCATCATAATTGTATTATTTTATTATTATTGTCATTACTGTTATTTTTGTTATTATCATCCAAATTATTATTATTATTATTATTATTATTATTATTATTATTATTATTATTATTATTATTATTACTATTGTTGTTGTTGTTGTTATTGTTGTTGATGTTGTTGTTGTTGTTACATGCACATTAAATTTTATAATATTATTATATAGACTGGTCAATTTTGGGCATACTGAGTTAATGGTAAATTTATTCTTAATTAATTCAAGGTAAGCCTCCTCAATTGCCTTGCTGTTGGTAAAAATGTATGCATCTGTCTTGAAAAACAAGTCAAAATATTTTAGATTGATTAGTGTCTACCAAAGGTTGGGTGTCCTTGAAAAACGCAAATTCACAGTATTGTGTTTTCAAACAGAAAATCCGCACAGAAATGTGTTTTTAAATGAACGTAAAAGGCGTTGAGCAAAAAAGAAAAGAGGGTAGAAATTGCCCAAATGACCGGAAAAACGCCGGTTTCTTAGGGTCATTATTTTGACGTGCGTCTAATTTCAATAGGAAGTCTCTTAATAACGTGTGTAAAAAATGTATAATTGTGTGTGTATGTATGTATGTATGTATGTATGTATGTATGTATGTATGTATGTATGTATGTCAGGAAGGATGTACACCTGGATCAAGAACTTTCTGTCTTGCAGAACTATCCAGACGTCATGTGACGGCAAGATTTCTTCACAGAGGACACTTGAGGAAGGCCTCCCACAGGGATCAGCACTCAGCTATACCCTCTTCATGTTGTTCATGAACGACTTCCAGATGTCATCTCCTGCCAGAAAGCACTCTACGCTGACGATTTACTCATATGGAGCAAAGGAAGTGACATGAGAGCACTGAACCAAGCCATCAACGCAGACCTGACTACTATCTCGTCTTACTGCCAACTAAGGAAGATGGAGATCAACACACACACGACTGTTTTTGGACTCTTTGGCCTCAAAAACAAAGCTACAGCAAGTCAGGTAAACCATAAGATCAATGGAACCAACATCAGACATGAGGACTATCCCAAGTACCTTGGTGTACAACTGGACCGAAAGCTGTCTCTCAAAGAGCACTTAGGGGAGCTGACCAAGAAAGCCACCTCCAGACTAAACCTCCGGAAACAACTTTCATCACTCAACTGGGAAGTTGACAAAGCAACCCTCCGACAACTTTATATATGGTATGTCAGATCTGTGATTGACCACTCCCTACATCTACAATCCATAGCCAGCCAAAGCTCCCTGGCACAACTAGACAGAGTACAGAACCAAGCACTCAGATTTGTTTCTGGCGCGATGAAGACCACGCCTACAAGCGCCTGCGAAATCCACACCAACATAGAACCACTGGACCTCAGAAGAAAGAGTGCTACACTTGAAACCTATGAAAGATTTGTGCGGCTAGAAGACACGAACGAAAACAGGAAAATGGCAGATGAGTGGGAACCAAGAACACGCATCCAGAAGACCTCCTTTATGCGAGAAGCAACAAAACTACTTGAGAAGTTTGACTCAACCAAGAACAGAGAACCAATCACCAACATGGGCAGCGAACCTCCATATTGGCAGACACCAGAAATCACAATAAGGACGAGACTTATAGACCCTTCTTGTGACAAGACCACACCAGAAGAAATCCTCAGAACTAGCGCCCTGGAGACAGTGGACTCGTATGCTGAAACTCCAATCCATACATACACAGATGAGTCAGCAACAAACGCTACACGGAATGCTGGATACGGATCTACCATCAAATATCGAAACAACCTTGGAGAGAAAAAGCAGACCCAACTATTTGGCCCATGTGGAACATACAGCTCGAACTATAACGCAGAGAGAATCGCCCGTAGTAATGATCCTGGAGCAGATCACCCAAGACTTTTTTGAAGGCGCAGTAGCGCCAGGGGATGTTGTTGTCTTCTCTGACTCTACGTTAGTACTCCAAGCCGTCGAAGGAGGAGAAGGCTACAGAGATGACGGGAACATCCTCAGCCTTGCAAAACAGATGAGCACTTCCTATGGCGTCCGGGTCACAATGCAGTGGGTGCCTGGCCATTGTGGAGTACCAGGGAATGAGACTGCAGACCATCTATCAAAGACTGGAGCGAGCCTGCCCGAGACAGACACAACCGCCTCTTTACAGACCTGCAGAGGGATCATCCAAGCCAAATGCAGAGACGAGTGGCTAAACAGATGGGCCAACGCAGAAACAGGAAGATCTCTCTTCGGGTACATGGACAAACCCAACCCCAAAGACCCATCGAACCTTTT